GTGAGAGCCGGCACATGCTCAGGTGCAAAGTGAACCTGAAGTCCTGTGGCTGCCCGCGGCCGCCTAGTTGACGCGAGGCTTGACGCGCGAGTTCCAAAGCCTGCTGCTCGTCGAAGGTATTTTAGAACATGTGAAGTTGAAGATCTTCTGGACGCGAAATTGCGCCGGCCCCCCGCGCCGACGTCCGCCGCGCGCCGACCCTGCCCGACGCGACTCGCACAGGGACGACGCAGGCGCGCGCGGCCGGAGGAGAGGTCGCGGACGCGCGCCGTCAGATGCGAGTGGTTAGAGCCCCCGGGGGCCGCCGCGCGTGTCGCGCGGGGCCGGCGGGCGCGTCGCCGCGGAGGCGCGCCTAGGCCGCGAAGCGCTGGAGCCGCTTGGAGCGGAGCGACGCGGGCGACAGGTCGAAGCGCGGCGCGCCCGGCGCCGGCGGGGCGTCGTCGTCGCGGAGCGGCGCCGTCGTCGCGCCGAGGCGCGGCGGCGGCGGCGCGGCCGCGGCCGCGACGGCCGCGACGTAGTCCGGGTAGGCGCGCGGGAGGAAGTCCTCGACGGAGATGGTCACGGGCACGTCGGCGCCGTCGGCGGCGACGAGCTGGAGCGCCGCGGGCACGAGGCCGTCGCGGATGTCCTCGAGGAACGACAGGTGCGCGTCGTAGGAATGGAGCTCGGGGTAGCGCGCCGGCGCTTCGAGGTCCGCGAGGCCGACCACGGCGCCGCCGGGCCGCGGGCGCTTGCGGGAGGACGCCGCCGGGAATGTGGCTCCGGCGGCCGGGGGGGGCGGCGACGCGTCGCCGCCGCGCGGAGGCCGCGCGCCGTCGGCGGCGGCCGCGAGCGTGAAGCCGTCGCCGAAGAGGCGCACGGCGAAGGCGAGGCCGCCGCGCCAGGGCCCGCGGTCCACGTGCCGCCGGAGCGGCCGCCCGTCCTCGAGCGTCAGCTCCCGCTCGCCGCCGCCGCCGCCGCCGCCGCCGCTCCGGCCGACGAGCGCGTCGATGACGGCGCCGAGGGTCCGCGCGTCGTGCTGGACCGGCGCCTGCGTCTGCGTGTCCGCGTGCCAGAGGGCCGCCGCGCGGCCGACGCTGCCGCCCGACGCGCGCAGGTTCGTGTTGGCCTCCTCGCGGCTCGTGCACCCCGTCGTCACCATGTAGGCGAGCGTGTTCTCCAGCGGTATGGCCTCGACCTGGCGCGAGGACACGCCGGGGCTCGACGAGTCCATCGCCGCGGGGCCGCGAAGCAGCGGCGCGGCGAGATCGACGGACGAAGTGAGCTGGCCTCAAGCGCTCGGCAACTCGAAGGGGGTGGGTGAAGGCGAAGAATTTCAGCTGAGGCATCACCGGCATCGCGAATTTACGTTGCCGTGAGCGAGGCGTTGAGCGTAAGGAATGAAGCGCGCGATAAAAAGCTAGTGCTGCCCTGACTCCTCCGAGAGCTCTCCCTGTCAGGTCGAAGACATCGGCAGAGCGGACTCGCCGCGCCGCCGCGGCACCCACCGCCCACGCGCGTCGCGAACGACGCCGGCGCGCTCGCCGCACGCCGCCACACCGTCGCGCCGTCAGAGCTTCATCCCTCTTCGCGGCGAGCCTACCCGTCCCGCGTGCGCGCGTGCAACACATCAACATGTTCGGTTGCAGCTCTTCTGTCGCGAGGGAGACGAGGCCGAAGGA